GCATGGTAGTGTGCGCCTGTGGTCCCAGCTACTTGGGAGCTGAGGTGGGAAGATCACCTAAGCTCCAGAGGTCAATGCTTCAATGAGCCATAATAGCACCACCGTACTCCAGCCTGGGTGACAGAATGAGAGCCTGTCTCAAAAAAACAAAAAAACTAAAAAAACTAGTGGTGATGTTGTTCTAATTCCTTTTCTTTTTTTCTTTTTTTTTCTTTTTCTTTTCTTTTTTTTTTTTTGAGATGGAGTCTTACTCTGTTGCCCAGGCTGGAGTGGAATGGCATGATCTCAGCTCACTGCAACTTCCGACTCCCAGGTTCATGTGATTCTCCTGAATCAGCCTCCTGAGTAACTGGGAATACAGGTACCCGCCACCATGCCCTGCTCACCATGCCCTTGTATTTTTAGTGGAGACAGGGTTTCACCATGTTGGTCAGGCTGGTCTTGAACTCCTGACCTCAGGTGATCCTTCTGCCTCAGCCTCCTAAAGTGCTGGGATTACAGGTGTGAGCCACCACGCCTGGCTGTTTTCTGCTGCTATAACAGAGTATCATGGATAAAGTAATTTATAAAGAAAAGAGATTTATTTGGTTCATGGTTCTGGAGGCTGGGAAACCCAAAATCATGGGCTTCCCAAAGGGTCACATCTGGCCAGGGCCTTCTTGCTGCATCATAACATGTCAGAAGGCATCACATGGCATCCCCACTCTGACGAACCCATTCTCCCCTCGATAACAGCATTGATCTATCCAGAGCCCTCATGACCTGATTACCTCTTAAAGGGCCCACTTCTCAACACTGTTAAAATGGCAATTAAATGTCAACATGAGTTTTGGAAGGGATTTTACAACCAAAGAAGATGTTGATCACTTTTTTTTCAAGTATTTTGTGTGTGTGTGTGTTTTTTTTTTTTTTTTTCCTGGGAAGTGATAGTGTTTTTATTGTTGAGTTTAAGAAAAATACTGAATTTGGCTTTTTACCTTGTGTCATGTCTGAGTAGATAGTCTACTTTTTCCATTACTGCCAATTTCCTTTATATCTGTTTTAGATTTATCTCTCATGAATTTATGTAAACTCTTTTTGAACCTGTAGGATTTTTCGGTCCTTCAAGCTTCTAGAAGTTTTCCCCTGTGCTACCTTTCAGAGCGTGGGAAACAGTTCCACAGCCAAGTCTGGTTACCTTTTCTTTTGGCACTTTCCCCTCAGACTTTACATTCCTAACCTTTTCTGTTGGTTTTCCTGAGGAGTATCGTTCACCCCAAATTCTACTTGCAGAGGCTGCAAGTACATGAAATACTTCCTGTGATTTGTAAAACTGGATCTCAAAATGAAGGTGAATGCATATTAAACATATGTGATGCCTTTTAAGTGTGTGAGAATAGAAGATAATATTAGAGATTAGGGATTAGTTTATTTCTCCATCCTTAAGCCAAATAGTGGTGTTTGGCTATGGGCTATGCCTAAGTGGTTGCCAGTCTTTTCCGCATGGTCTTGCTATTGACTGCTTTTCATTGCTTCCACTTCAGTGTGCTCCAGGGAAGGAAGCAAGGACAGGCGGAGAATTAGATTGAGATTTAAATCCCAATGTTATAATTTACCTGCTTAATAATCTTGGACAAATAATATGGCCCCAATGGGCCTTTGTTACTTCCTAGAATAAATGTGAGGATTAAGTGGGATCTCATGATCTGCCTCACTGGTTTGGGATGTAAAGTTGGTCATGCTTTTTAAAATTTTCTAATTAATCATTTGAATCTCCACTTGCCAATAAGGGCAAGAAGTCTGCGATCCTGTATTTGAAATCTTCTTTACAAATTGACCGAGAACCTTACTCTTCCCAAGGAAATCTCCTTCCCATCTCCAGCTGGGGAGAAACTTGGAAAAGCCTGGCCAGCCTGATGGTAGGCCCTGGGATCACTGCTGTTGTTTCTGTTGGGACCTTTTGATGGATTGGCCCCACCCAGTCCAGTGGGCCTTTATCCATTGCCACCATGTCCCTTCTGGTCTAGTCCTCGCACACAACATGGCGGTGTCCAAGCCTGGGCTCTCAAGATGACTTCTCTTCAGGTCACATCCATATACTTAGTCATTGTGTCCTGTGGCATCTGTCTGGGGTGACTGGACACAGAGGAACCTGTCATCAGGCGAGAAACCCCTGTCTTTCCTGGTGCATATTAGAACCAGCTGACCTCAGTTGGAAACATCCTAATTCTTCTGAGAAATTCTGATAACACCACACTTTTTTTTTTTTTTTTTTGAGACGGAGTCTTACTCTGTCACCCAGGCGGCCAGGCTGGAGTGCAGTGGCACGATCTCCGCTCACTGCAAGCTCCGCCTCCTGGGTTCACGCCATTCTGCTGCGTCAGCCTCCCGAGTAGCTGGGACTACAGGCGCCCGCCACCATGCGTGGCTAATTTTTTGTATTTTTAGTAGAGACAGGGTTTCACTGTGTTAGCCAGGATGGTCTCGATTTCCTGACCTCGTGATCTGCCTGCCTCGGCCTCCCAAAGTGCTGGGATTACAGGCGTGAGCCACCGTGCCTGGCCAACACTACATTTTAAAAGAGGAGCGGCCAAGGTCACCTTTCTCCCTCCCCCAGGAGGCTCCTTAAGGCTGCTATGCATATTTAGCCCCCTCCCATCTATCAGCACTGAGTACCCAGCAATCACAAAAGTTACTGTCACACCACCTCATCAGGAATGGGGGTGCTTATACCATCCTCATCAGGAATGGAGGTGCTTATACAAACCTTAAATTTGTATAACTAAAAAGGGCCATTCAAGTGATTCTTCCTGGGAACAAAGAAGGTTGATACTTTGGAAGGCTGAGTTGGGCGGATTGTGAAGTCAGGAGATCGAGACTATCCTGGCTAACACGGTGAAACCCTGTCTCTACTAAAAATACCAAAAATTAGCTGGGTGTGGTGGTGGGTGCCTGTAGTCCCAGCTACTTGGGAGGCTGAGGCGGGAGAACGGCGTGAACCCAGGAGGCAGAGCTTGCAGTGAGCCGAGATCGCACCACTGCACTCCAGCCTGGATGACAGAGTGAGACTCCGTGTCAAAAAAAAAAAGAAGGTTGACTAAGGGGCTTTTGGACATTATGTAGACAGACACCCCTGACACCTTCTCTTACTAAATAAGTAAATAAAATTCTGTTTCATCAGACATAGCCACATATGTGTAAAGCACCTACCCCACCTGTATTAGTCTGTTTTTATGCTGTGAAGTAAGACATACCCAAGACTGGGTAATTTATAAGGGAAAAAGGTTTAATTGACTCACAGTTCTACATGACTGGGGAGGCCTCACAATCACGGCGGAGGGCAAAGGGGAAGCAAGACACGTCTTACATGGTGGCAGAAAAGGCAAGAGCATGTGTAGGGGAACTCCTCTTTATCAAACCATCAGAACTTAAGAGACTTACTCACTATCATGAGAACAGCATGGGAAACACCCACCCCCTTGATTCAGTGACCTTCCAGCAGGTTCCTCCCATGACACGTGGGAATTATGGGAGCTATAATTCAAGACGAGATTTGGGTGCAGGGGAACACAGCCAAACCGTATCACCACCTCTGTCACCCCTGAGAAGTGCTCAGAAAATGTTAGCTGTCTCCCTCCTCCCTTCCTTCTCAGCCTGACCACACCTCTGCATCATTCAAGCTGGGAACACCTTGCCTTCCAGAGACCTTTCCCATTCCTCAGTGTCCATTCTCTGCAGGGCTCTGCGTAAATACGCCCTGTGCTGACCCCTTATACGCAACCTCCAGGGAGGTTAGATGGCCAGAGCTGCTTTCAGGGTTTGTTTGCCAAAGGCAGTTTATTCTTTTTTCAAATAGTTAGAATTTACTTCACATTTGAATCCAACTTGTGTTTTTATACAGTCAGCATGTCCTGAGCATTCTGTCATGGAAAAGAATTTGCTCATCCAAGAATAAACAATGCCTAGCTAGTATCCTGTCCCTCTTGAGACAGGTAGAGGCGTTTATGAAGTGTGCCTTGTTACTAGCCTGTGCCCCACAAATAAACTTTCTGCTGTGAGAAAGGGTGTGGCACCTGCTTTTTTGGAGGTTTAGTTTCACAGAACCATACAGTCCTTGTCTGGTTTTGCCAGCAGTGCCTGCTTAGAACGCACAGAGGGGCCCTGGACACTGTGGTCAGAGGCTGTCCTCAGACCCCATCTCCATTGCAGACCAAGCTCTTTACCACATCCCCTTGCAGGATTCCCAGATGTCCCTAGGAGGCCCAGGAGTATGTATCTCCAAGTAGACTCTTATCTCCAAAAGCAAGTGACAGCTCCCTTGAATTATTTTGGGTGAAGGAATTGGTTTTCACATGTTTCATAAGGCCTAATTAGGTGCCTAATACCATATTATTCTTGCAGATGTTTAATTATTGACTTTAGACACAGATTCTAAGAGAAATAGAAGAAAAACTGTGACAAACTCTGAAGTTTTCCTGAAATTATTCATAGTCCCTCCTGACATTTCCTCCACCGGCTGTTTTTTTTTGCTCTAATGTTTCCAACAGACATGCTTTGCTAATGGTACGAGGTGTGGCTTTGTTGTTTTTTCCGGAGTTAGCCTTTCTGTCTATGCATCCTGGCTCTTTGAAATCCCAGCTGAATTTGGAGAAATTGTTTCTTGGCATCCACCCTGCTTTCCTGGGACACAATGTGATGCTGATGACATAGCCCGGTCACTCCACTTGACAACAAGTTTGTTTGTCTCATCTCAAAAACATATTCAGTGGTGAGTAAGAACAGAAGTGGAAAGCCTTACTTACCGCAGTTTATTATGTGTTTCATGCCCGTGATAATTACTTTTATAATGCCACTTGTGAAAAAATTGATCAGATTAGGATGAATCACCTTGCTGGCCAACAGTTATTGGAATGATTCTCCACGTGTGACTTCGTTGCGCTATTACAAAATGTGGCAGGATAGACCTGCCCAGCCATTGTTGCCGGTGTTCATTTGTAATGCTGCCTTAAGGAGATGAGGACATGAGAGCCAATTGTTCCAGCAGCTCAGCCTGCCCTGCCAACAGTTCAGAGGAGGAGCTGCCAGTGGGACTGGAGGTGCATGGAAACTTGGAGCTCGTTTTCACAGTGGTGTCCACTGTGATGATGGGGCTGCTTATGTTCTCTCTGGGATGCTCCGTGGAGATCCGGAAGCTGTGGTCGCACATCAGGAGACCCTGGGGCATTGCTGTGGGACTGCTCTGCCAGTTTGGGCTCATGCCTTTCACAGCTTATCTCCTGGCCATCAGCTTTTCTCTGAAGCCAGTCCAAGCTATTGCTGTTCTCATCATGGGCTGCTGCCCGGGGGGCACCATCTCTAACATTTTCACCTTCTGGGTTGATGGAGATATGGATCTCAGGTAAGTAACCCCAGGGAAGCTTAGTAGTCTGCCTCTTATCCTGCCTGGGGGGAATAACTGGCACTCTCTGTTAAAGACTCTTCCAATCTTTTGGTAGAGATTTTACTGGGTAATGTTACAAATATCACAGAGACTTGTTCAGCCATGGGTGGGCTTTACTTTCAGTGCTCAAAATTTACTTTGCTGGTCATCATTTGATTTATTGGCTGTTCTGAGCAGTGGGATATGTTTCCTATGTGATAGTGGAGGCCGGTCTCCACCTCACCCAGTGGCCCTTCCTAAGCTTGAGCTCTTTAGCAACTGGCCTCTTTAGCAACTCCCAGGACTTAAGCCAAGAATCCCAAGAAGCTAATGATTGTGGTTTGGTAGCAGCCATCGTGGCTGTGGTGGCATAGTCAGAATGAGACTCCCGTAGCTCCAGTCAGTGATGCCTGAGCACCTCCTTTAGGAAAGAAGCACTTTAGAGGACTGGATAAAGGAGCTTTAGGGGCACCTGGTGGCCGTATCCAGCTTTAAGTGCTGGGATGGCCTGTTGATTTGACTTCAGGAGCAACGCAAAGGCTCTCAGGACTAAAACAGTTCTTTCTTGTTGCTTTGCAGATGGTTAATATCATCACTAGATTCACATTCTTTCCCTTTAAGCCAGTGACCTTATTCCCAATTATGGTGTAGATAAATACCTCTGGGAGACATTAAGCCTTGTCCTTTATTTACACTTTAATGAGGATGAATTAGTCACACGCTTTTCTGGATTACATGTTTTGATGGGGGAAAAAAAGAGCATTTGAGGAAGGAGTAGAGGAATCAGCACTGGAAAAAGAACTAGAAACAATGGTCTCTGGAGACTCTTTGCTTACTTGTGAACATACCGTTTCACCTCCTGCCCTGGGGAAGAACTGCTTATAAATTTAAGTCTTTGTTTCATGTGTATGCCATTTAGTTGAGATTTACTCTACCGTGAATGGATGAATAAGAGGTAATGACTGAGCTGGGAGCTGACATCAGTGAGAGTCAGCTGCAGGTATGGGTTTCCAGTTTCCCGCATGTGCTGAATGTTTAGCGTATGGTACATATTTCACCTATAAATTTTAATGGGCTCATACCATGCAGAATAGGAACTAACTTTCACATGGCAGTGTTATTGGTTACCCACTTATGAGAGATTTGAAAAAAAAAATAACTTGATGAATTTTGTGTTTTACCTTAATGGTAAAAGCCATTAATATTCATTGCTAATTCAAATTCAATAAAGTTGACTGTTTAACTGGGAAATGATAGATATTCTTTGCATGAAGTTCATAAATCAGAGATAAATTTCAGGACCTAAAAGTTTTTGGAAGGAAATAGGAAACTAATATGTATTAAGTACTCTATAGGCATGGGATAGATGCTTTCATGCTTATTTTCTTCTTGGGGCTCATAATAACCTTGTAAATGGCCTTTTATTATTCTGAATTTTACAGCTGAGAAAATTGTGATTCCGGTTAGTTAAGTCGCTTGCCAAATGCTACAAACCAGTATGGCAGAACTCAGATTTGAATTCACATCTGTTTTACATCAGTCTGCAGTTTAGGTACATTTCCCCCATGACATTTAGCAACACAACTAGATCTTCTGTTTTGAGTAGCAGCATAAATCTTCTCAAACACTTGTGTTCTGGGAAAGAGAACATTTATTACCTTAATCTCTTATTAGTCAATGTTGTCATAAAAACACCAATGTATAGGAAATCTATGAAAGGTAACGCTAATTTTACTTTCTTTTGCCAACTCTATCTTTAGTTCACCTTTAACTTTGTTCAAATTATTTAACCTATCTAAGCCTTATCTCATCATTGGCAAAATGGGGTTAAATTTACCTGTTTCTCACAAGACTGTATATATATGTACACACACTCACACACACACATATAGATAATAGTTTGGGGTGGTGTTTCGCTCTTGTTGCCCAGGCTGGAGTGCAATGGTGCGATCTTGGCTCACTGCAACCTCCACCTCCTGGGTTCAAGCGATTCTCCTGCCTCAGCCTCCTGAGTAGCTGGGAATACAGGTACCCGCCACCACGCCCGGCTGCTTTTTCTATTTTTAGTAGAGATGGGGTTTCGCCATGTTGGCCAGGCTATTCTCGAACTGCTCACCTCAGGTGATCCTCTCGTCTCGGCCTCCCGAAGTGTTGGGATTACAGGCGTGAGCCACGGCACCTGGCTGACACAAGACTATATTTTATGGAGGAAATATATACTTGCGTGTGTGTGTGTTTGTGTGTGTGTATTCAGGGTGCCAGGCACATAGTAGCTGTGCAATAAATATTATCTATGTTTCCTCTTTTCTTTCTAAATTTTGATTTTGATTCTTACCAACAAAACTCAAAAAAAAAAGCAAAAACTAAATATTAGATTTTTGGAAGTTTATAGGTACGAAAGTAATAAAATCAGTTTTCAGTAGAAAGCCAAATAGGAGAAAATCCAGTCCAGTGTGAAACAATATCCAAGTGATTACATTTCTTCATAATTGATTACCAACAAAAATCAGTTTAAAGCAAAACTCAGTGGATCATCATTGGTAGGAGTTTTATCTGCTTTTAATGCTGGATAAAATCCAAGAGCGTTTAGCACAACATCTTCATTTGACACATGAAGAAGTGGAGACTTAGCTCCCTGCGGATGACCCTGAGCATGTTTCTCATGCCTTCACTCCAGCTTCACGCAGTGCACTTGCACTTCTCCACGTGTTCACCCCACACAGGCATTTCAGAATCCATTGGTTTGAACCGGTTTGTGTGTTCTGCAAATGAGATGATTGATGACACCCATCCTCTTGCAGTTGCCTGGGCTTGTCATCTTAGCCTTGCCCTGTGACTACCCTCATTCTCACCATGGCCACTCAATCCACTGCCAAGCCCTGTAGCCCCTCCTCTTGCTGTGTTGCTCACAGTTCTTGCTTCCTGTCGGTCTCCACTAAAACTTCCTCAGGTCAGGCCCTCACAATTTCTTTCTTGACTAATTGTATTTTCACAGCAATGAAAGTGCTGTTCTCTGCACCTTTAATCTCTCCATTATGGCTTTGCAGTAAGTGGATAAGGCAGGCTCTGATACCAGATTGCCTATATTCAAATCCTGACCTTGGGCCTCTTCTCTGTAACTGGAAATCACAACATTACTCGCATGGTACTGTGAGGAGAAAACAAACATGTTATACATACAAAGTCTTCTCAACACCTACTAAATTGGTAGAAACTACTAAGCCGGTCTACTTTATTTCTCCAGGTTCTTTTGTTCCACTAGCCACCTTAAGAACAATGGTTTTTAGTCAACATGGGCTGCTTATAGTTCTCTGAACATATCCCACACTCTTCCAGCTTTCTTTTGCCCATGTTGTTCCCACAGTCTGCAATGCCAGCTGACCTTATTCTGTCTCCTCCAGTCATGATGTTGTCCTTCCTTATAACTATTCTAGAAAGCAGTTGGCTGACATGTATGAAAAGCCTTAAAAATTATCCTGCCTCTGGGCCGAGTTTGGCTGATCACGGCTGGGTTCTTTTACATACTTGGGAGTTGGTTAAATGTAAACTTGTCTCGGGTGGTGATATGGTTTGGCTCTGTGTCCCCACCCCATTCCTATTTGTCGAGGGAGGGGCCTGTAATCCCCGAATGTCAAGGGAGGGAGGTGATCGGATCATGGGGATGGTTTCCCCCATGGTGTTCTCATGATAGTGAGTGATGGTTTTATGAGTGTTTGGAAGTTCCTCCTTTGTTCTTCTTCTCTCTCCTGCTGCCTTGTGAAGAAGGTCCTTGCTTCCCCTTCACCTTCTGCCATGTTTGTAAGTTTCCTGAGGCCTCCCCAGCCATGTGGAACTGTGAGTCAATCAAATCCCTTTCCTTTATAAATTACCCTGTCTTGGGTATTTCTTTACAGCAGTGTGAAAATGGACTAATGCAGGTGGCTTCAACCTGGACAACTGGGCTCTCTTACTACATGATCTCTCATTTTCTAGTAGATGAGCCTAGACCTAATCATATGGCAGCAGCAGGGTTCTCAGAAAGGCAAAGCAGAAAAGGTCTTTTGAAGTGTTGGCTTTAAACCAGATCCTCATCCTTCCACCACATTCCATTGGCCAATGCAGATTGCAAGGCCAGTCCAGCTTCATGGATTAGGAAAGTAGATTTTGCCTCTTGATGTGCTGAGCTTCCAAGTCACATTACAGCAGACTCAGATAAGGGAGGGGTGAAGAATAGGTGGTATTTTTTCCCCAATATATCCTGCTAGAGATGGACAGAATTCCTACCTTTGAGGGTAGGACATGAAAATTAAGATCTGGCAGTACAGTGTAGTAGTTAAGTGCTCTGGAAACAGCAAGCAGACCTGTCACTTACTGACTGGATCCTCTCGGCAGATTATGCACATTCTCTATGCTTTACTTTCCTCATTTCTAAAATGAGAAGCGTTCCTACATCATGAGCTGTTGAGAGGATTGAATGAGTTAATATATCTAAAGTGTTTAGAATCTCACCTGGCATAAAATGTGATATGAACTATTATTATTATACAAGGCAGGCAAAAGAACATCGTGTCCTGGGGTCTGTGTTTTAATCTCTGCTCTAGGAGCTGTATGCCTAACCCTAACCCTATATATAATGACATATTTTAATATATATATGTCATTTTTTATCTACTCATCCATCAATGGACAATTGAATTGTTTCCACTTTTTGGCAATTGTGAATAATGCTGTTGAGTCTCAGCTTTCATTTCCCTTGAGTGTATGCTTAGGAGTGGATCTGAGGTTAAATATTAAGTGTTTTGTGACTATAGGAAAAGCAAAGCAAAATATGATGTCCAAATATCCCCCTTCCCCTACCCTGGTTTCTCCTGAAACTACTGCCCTGAGATGTTTCTCCTGTCTGTCCCTATAATTTGAATTATGTAACTCTTCCTTATAATCTGTTGGAAAGCATTGCAATAGCTGGGCTACTTGTCTGCCCCACCTACTATGTCTGTAAC